GTCAGGGGTTCGAAATCGCCAGCTGCTCCAAGGGAGAAAGATGAAGCTTTCTACTCCCATGAAGCATTGACAGCCTTGGAAACTCACCGGAGGCGGTTCTCTGCCCTCTCCTCTAGGGTCTTCATGAATCAGAATTGATTTGGTTTGGTTTGAGTTGAGTTCTCTAGGTTAGAATTTGACACAATGAGATGCCAGGACCTCTCGTCTGTGGTCCACTCCTGGGTGGGTTTGAAGGACAGCTGTCAGTGGAGTGTACCCTGCTGGACTCTTGGCTTCCTTGACACCGGCATCTGAGACTCCTGAGCTCACTGTTTCTGCAGAACCTGCGAAACAGACCTGCTGTTTTTCGGAGTTGGCTCCGATTCACAGCGCCCCGGGTCCAACAGAAACCAGCACCACCCTCAGGACAGTGATGCCTGAGCCCAGTGGTCCTCAACCTTCCTGGTGCTTCGACCCTTTCATACAGTTCCTCATGTGTGGTGACCCCCCAACCATCACATTATTGTCGTGGCTACTTCATCGCTGTCATTTTGCTACTGTGCTGAATCGTCATGTAACTGTCTGCTATACCAGATGTACGTTCGTTGTTACAAATTGAACATAAAGCATCGTGATCCATCACAAAAACAATATGTCATTATAGATTGTGAAACAGTTGTGTTTCCCGATGGTCTTGGGTGACCCCTGTGAAAGGGTCTTTTGACCCCCCAAAGGGGTCACGACCCACAGGTTGAGAATCACTGCCTGAGCCCATTGTTGTAGCCGTGTCCATCCATCTCATCCAAAGAGGGTCTTCCTCTTTCCCGCCAACTCTCTCCTTTCCCGAGGACCCCTGGTGGCCCGCTGGTTATGCGTTGGGCTACCGTCTGCAAGGTCAGTAGTTCAAAACCACCAGCCACTCTGTGGGAGAGAGAGAGAGAAAAGGAGCTTTCTACTCCCATAAAGAGTTACAGTCTGGGAAATCCACAAGGGGCAGTTCTGCCCTGTCCTGTAGGGTCACTATGAGTCCGCACGGACTGGATGGCAGGGAGTTCTTTTAATTCTCTCTGTTACCAAGCCTCGTGTCCTTCTGCAGGGACTGCCCTCTCTTGGTCACATGCCCAGAGAATGACAGGCAGATGAGCCAGGGGACAATGAGATCACAGACCCATTAGCTCACTAGCTAGTCAACAGAAGAAGCTTAGGCACCACTGACCCTCACTGTTTGCGAAGCTGGCGTTTCTGTTTCTGTCAGCAACGATGCAGGGGGCTGTACATTAGGACGCATGCCATTGCCACCACCAGATGGTCCTCGTGAAAATGCTGGCGTGGCAAAGGTCATGTGAGGTTATATTTGCAATAACAAAAAAAATGGGGGAAACCCACTGGATTGTCCATTGTGGTTATATATCATGGATCTATATATATCCATATACAGAACTCTGCCATCCACTCAATTCTAACTCATAGTCACCCTGTAGCACAGAGTAGAATTGCCCCTGTGCGTTTTCTGAGACTGCAATGCTTTGTGGCAGTAGAAAGTATCCATGTATATGGACACGTGGTGGAATAGTGGTTATAGGGACATCTGGTGGAGTCGTGGTTCTATGAGGCTTTCTACTTCCGTAAATATTTACAATCTTGGAAACCCACCAGGGCAGTTGTCTGTCCGATAGGGTCACTGTGAGTCAGAATCCACTCTATGGCAGTGAGCTAGACGGATACGTCTCCTTCTTCCAAGATTCCAGCCTTGGGACTCCTGGCCCCCGCCCCCCTGCTCTACTTTGTTCCAAGTGTTTCCATGAGCCCCATTGATTGGCAGCCATGGGTTTTAGGGTACCCTTGATGGTTGCAAGCTGCGCAGCCCCCCTTTGGCCTTCCTTTCCACTGGGGGCACGTGTTATGTTCCCTGTGCCTGTGTTGGTCGTGTTCTGTGTGTGAAATATCGTGCCCCTGCCTCTTGTTTACCTTTCCCTCTGTTGATGGCCCTCACGGTCATTTCCACCTCTTGCCTATCAATGATTGACTCGGGCATGGGATGGCTGGGGGTGGGCCTTTTGGGTCCAGCCTGCCATTTCCACAGCATTTGACTGCTCTCCCTAGGGCAGCAGTTCTCAACCTGTGGGTCAAGACCCCTTTGGGGGGGTCGAAGGACCCTTTCACAGGGGTCGCCTGATTCATCACAGTAGCAAAATGACAGTGAGGAAGTAGCAACGAAAATAATTTTATGGTTGGGGGGTCACCGCCACATGAGGAACTGGACGAAAGGGTCATGGCGGCATTAGGAAGGTGGAGAACCCCTGCCCCAGAGGTTCCTGGGTACACTAGAGGGTTGAGGCTAAGGGAGGAGAGATGATGGGGAGACAAGGAGAGGGCCACCCTCCACCCCCCCAGGCCGGGCAGCCCTGACTCCTGCCCTCTCCTCTCTCCCCGACACTCCAGGCTCAGACCCGGGCAGCCCTGCTCAGGGTGCTGCAGGAAGATGAGGGGCAGTGGGCGGCTATCCAGGAGCAGCCGGGCACCCTGGCCCAGGATGTGTGTGAGGTAGGGGGAGTGGAGGGAGGGAAGCAGGGGGTGGAACATATAGGAAGTGTGGGGAGGGAAGGTGGGACCCGATGCCAGGCTAATGCCTCGTTCTCCCTTGCCCCCCCACCTCCTCGCAGCTGCTGGAAGAGCATACAGATAGAGCACCCGGAATCAGCCAGGAGTTTGGGGAGCGGATGGCCTACTGCTGCTTGGGGGGCCTGGCCGAGTTCCTGCAGAGGTATGAGGGCAGATGGTTCTGAGGTACTGGGCCTGGGATCCAACAGCGGGGGACAGAGAGATGAAAGGGAGTGGAGCGAGGGTGGGCAGGGATGCTCAGTGGGGGGGGTCCCTGGGGGCCTGGCAAGGGGTGGAATCCAACAGCAGAGCTCCATCTGTCATCCCTTCCTCTCCCTGCCCCCCCTCACCCCCTTGCTCCCCAGCTTCCAGCAGCGCGTGGAGCGATTCCATGAGAACCCAGTGGTACAGGAGCTGACAGCAGCCAGCTACATCAGCAGGACCATCTCCTTGGTCAACTATGGGCCCCCCCTGCGGTGAGCAACCGAGCTAGCAGTGTGTGTGTGTGTGTGTGTGTGTGTGTGATGTGTGTATCTGCTCTGGGGGACAAGTGAATGGGGTGGTGTGCCCAGACCCTGGTGGGGGCGACAAGGGTCCTTAGGGTCGCAGTGAGTGGGAATGATTTTTAAAAGCAACGGGTTTGGGCTTTTCGATGTTTATGGGAACAGATGGCCAGGTTTTTAGGCCACAGAGCTGTAGGGTGGGTGGGTTTGGACCTCTGCCCTTCTTGGTTAGCAACTAAAAACCGAAAAAAAGCCCAACAAACTCACAGCCATTGAGTTGATTCTGACTCACGGCGACCCGGTAGGGCCGCTAGAACTTCCCTTGTAGATTTCCGAGACCATCACTCTCTTTGGAAGTAGAAAGCCTCATCTTTCTTCTGAGGAGCGGCTAGTGGATTCGAACTGCTGACCTTGTGGTTAGTAGCCCGATGCATAACCACCGCCCCGCCACCAGGGCTCCTGTTTGATTAGCATCAGAGTGCTTTCACCACTGCGTCTCCAGGGCTCCGTTCCGATTACGTAGACCTTTCTAGACCAGCGAGTGTATTGAATAATGTGCGTATGTGTTCTTGATGTTTCTTCTTCATTTTTCTCTTTAAAATACACGTGGTGGAACACTTTTCCGATTCCTGCAGGAAGAGTTAGCATGCCTCTGGTCCTTTGAAAAACTGGAACCTTATTTTCCTGTGCAGATGCCCCATCCTTTGTTTAAGGGGCCCCGGCTGCGCTGTGTGTTGCGTGCTGGGCTGCAAACCGCAAGGTCAGCAGTTCAAAACCACCAGCTGCTCTTGGGGAGAAAGAGGATCCTTTCGACTCCTGTGAGAATTTATAGTCTCAGAAATCCACGCGAGTCCTTCTGCCCTCCCCTATAGGGTGCCATGATTCACTGGCAGTGAGCTGATGATGGGGGTGGCCATCTCTTTCACCCAGGCGTCAGCTAGTGGCGTAGTGGGTTGCTCATTGGGCTGCTAACGGCGAGGTCAGCAGTTCGCGCCCAGCAGCCGCGCGGTATAGGAGAAAGATGGGCCTTTCTGCTCCCGTAAACAACTGCAGCCTTGGGGACGTGTGCGGACAGTTCTACCCTGTTCCATAGGGTCACCGTGAGTCACAGTCGGCTTGGATGACAGTGAGCTATTGGTTCAGTCATTTGCAGAAAACAACCATGCATACACGTCCTTCCCCCCAAAGTCTGGGGGGTCTGAGGGACATACTCCCAGGGTGCACCTGCTGGGTCAAGCACTCCCTTTTGAGTAAGACTTAGCGCCCCACCCAACACACGCACGCACGCACGCACACACACACACACACACACACACACACGCACGCGCATGCACAGAAAGGCAGTTAAAGAAACTAGGATCCAGCTCTATGCCTCCCTCCCTCAACATATCCTGAACCCCTAGACCTTCCCAGCCTCCACCTCCTGGCAGCCCCCTGACCTTCCCAACCCCTCCCACACCCCCAAGACCCCCGGCTCCATCAGCACTGGAGTCCAAGGAGAGACAGGTAGTGGGGCTGGGCTGTAGGGGGCTCCTTTGATTTTGACCCCACCGATCCCACAGGACCCTGGCTGAACGCCTGGCCCGAGTGGGGCCCCCGGAAAGTGAGCCGGCCAGGGAAGCAGCAGCCAGTGCTCTGGACCGAGTGACAGGGCTCTGCCACCGAGTCCTGGCCGACCTGCTGTTCCAGGAGCTGCAGGTGAGTGTGGTGGCAGGATGGGGTGGAGGCACAGAGCTAGGACAGGGGAGTGCCACCTCCCTGATCCCTTCAGTTCAGGACTCCTTGCTGGAGAAGCCTGCCGGGAGGAGGGGGCTGGCCCTGTCACAGGGATATGATTTGTGTGTGTGTGTTGGGGGGGTCTGGGGGTGCAGGAAGGAAGAGGTGGGAGGGAGTGGGTGAGAGGAGGTGGGGTCGCGCCCTGTGGTGGCAAGGGTCCTGAGGATTGAGTGGAACCCCTTAATCCTTACCCAGTCTGCCCCAGGTCCTCAGCCCCTTCCACCCACATCCGGGCTAGGATTGGTGTGGGTGAGAGCCCGTGAGTGGAAGGGGGTCGCGATGGACAAGGAGCAAGTCTGAGATGTGCCTGCGTCCCTGCTAGTCATGCGTGGCACATCAACTCCTGTCCTCCTTCTGCTTCGATGCTGCACCATCCACTCTTGCCCTCTGACCCCCTCTCTACTGTCTTACACCCCTGCTGGGCCCCAGAGGCCGCTCCTGGAACGTGGCCCTCTGCTGCCACCGCCGCCGCAGGACCCTTGCACCAACTGAGCCCTCCGCCTTGTTGGCTTCTTTCCCAGAACACACAGGTCTCCCTCTCTGACCGTGTCACCTTCTCAGTGACCACTTCCCTGACCTCTCAGCTCACAATAGAAAGCCTCCTGCCCGCCCCCCACTCCCAGGCTCCCCTTCTGGCTTCCGGCCCTTAGGGTTCGCTTCTAGTGCATTGCCTGCCTCCTGTCACGCTATCTTTTGCTGAATTGTTTTTGTTATTATCTGTCTTTCCACCTTGGAATGTTAGCTCCTCACCAGCACGGAGTCTTGTCTTGGAATTTTCTTTTTTCCCCAAAGAAGCCTTGATGATGGAAAATTTTCAAACCTACACAAAGGTGACTGGGATGACAGAGTGACCCTTGGCGAACCCGACACTCGCCATCAGCAACTGTCCAGTCTCTTTCCTCCCACCGTCCCCACCCAAGGGTTACTCTGAGCCGGGTCTCTTCCCGACAGCCTCTCATTCCATCAAACGTTCATCAAACATTCAAGCTGGATCGCCCCAGAGATAAACAGAGCTAACCCCGCAATGTGTAATGATGCCATGTGTCATAAGGCAGAACTGCTCCCGATAGAGGGGTGGCGATCTATAGGGGCCGATCTATAGGGGCCGAGATCGCCAGGCAGGCCTTTCTCCCGCAGCACCGCCGAAAACAAAACTCATTACCGTGGTGGGTGTGGGGGTTCGATTCGGACTCATAGCGACCCTCTAGGACAGGCGACCCTCTAGGACAGGGTAGAACTGTCCCGTGAGCTTCTGAGACTAACTATTTAGAGGGGGTTAGAAAGCCTCGTCTTTCTCCTGCAGAGCCGCTGGTGGATTTGAACGGTTGACCTGGCAGTTAGCAGCCCAATGTGTCAACCACGATTCCACCGGGGCCTCTTGCAGAACCCCAGGGGGTGGCCTCAAATCTCCAACCACTAACCTGGCAGACCATCTGAGCCCAAGGGCCCCTTTTGGAAACACACCACTCCATGCCATCTTCATGCCTACCACGGGGAGGGCACGCCCGTGTTCACCATGCCCTGTCTGTCTCATGACTTGAGCATGCGCTAGTTTGGCTTCTCTGCTGTGTCTCGGTCACCCAGCAAGCCCAGGAAGTGCCCACAGGAGGCTCTCAGGGCAGTTATTGAACGACTGAAGGAAGGAGCCCCAGGGTGGCCCAAACAAATGGGTTTGCGCTCAGCTGCTAATGGAAAGGCCCGCAGTTCGAATCCACCCCCAGGGGCGTCAGAAGGAAGCCCTGGCAATCTCCTGCCCAAAGCAGAGCCTCTGACGACCCAGCTGAGCAAGGAGGTTGACCCGTGGTGAAGAGGTTCATGGTGGGAGAGGGCGTTGCAAGGACCCGACCCGTGTGTTGTGTGGGGAGGGCTGGATGGAAAACGGATGTGTGCTGTAAACCTT